GGTTGTTTACCCATGACCCTTACATCTTGTGGGAAGAAGGGGTTGTCAAATTTGTGTCGGCTAAATGTGTAGATCACTGCTGGTTGGACTCGTGGGGGGACCAGCCGACCGCACAGTTCCCCTGCGGCGCTTTGCAGCCGGAAGAGTTAGCTTCTTTGCCTCGAGAGTATAGAGACTTGGCGAAAGTGTTTGGCGAAGATGAAGCTAACGAATTGCCCCCCCATCGCTCTACTGACTGTGCTATTGAACTTTTGCCTGACTGTAAATTACCTAAAGGTAAAATCTATGCGATGGGGCCGGCTGAGAAAGTTGAACTGCGGAACTTTATTGATAAAAACCTAGCCCGCGGTTTCATTCGCCCGGCTTCCTCCCCTTTCGCCGCGCCTGTACTTTTCCGAAAGAAGAAAGACGGGGGGCTTAGATTGTGCACTGATTATAGGGGTCTGAACGCTGTTTCTTTGTCCAATGCCTACCCCCTCCCGCTAATCAAGGACTTGGTAGCTGAGGCCACCAAGGGCAAAATCTTCTCGAAACTTGACCTCCGAGATGCATATTTCCGTGTGCGCATTCGGGAGGGGGATGAAAGTAAGACTGCATTTAATACCCCTTTGGGGCAGTTTGAGTACCTCGTTATGCCCTTCGGGCTTCAAGGGGCTCCGGGGGTCTTCATGAACCTAATCAATGAGGTCCTACATGAGTTCTTGTTCAAAGGAGTGGTCCTTTACCTTGATGACGTGTTGCTGTACTCTCAGGACCTCCCGTCGCATATTAAATTGGTGCGCCAGGTCCTTAAGCGACTTTATGAACACCACCTGTTTGCAAAGCTGTCAAAATGTGAATTCCACAAGACATGCATTGACTTTTTGGGTTATCGCATCTCTGGGGGGAAGGTGGAAATGGACCCTGCTAAAATACAGGCTGTACTTGACTGGGAACCCCCCAGGACCCGCAAACAATTGCAAATGTTCCTCGGATTCGCCAATTTTTATAGAAATTTCATCCAGAATTTCGCTCAAATTGCCCTTCCTCTGACTGATTTGCTAAAGACCAAGGGGAAGGGGTTTGATGCTACGAAACCAGGCGCCCCGCTTAAATGGTCCCCTGCTTGCGCAGAGGCTTTTGAGAAACTTAAACTGATGTTCACATCTGAGCCAGTGCTAGCGCGCCCTGATGAAACTAAAAAATTCATTGTCCAAACTGATGCCTCGGATGTGGCAATGGGGGCCGCTATTTTGCAAGAAGGGGAAGATGGTCGTTTACACCCCCTCGCATTTGTGTCTAAAAAGTTTTCTGACGCTGAACGAAACTGGGGGATTTGGGAGAAGGAGGCGTCAGCGATCCGGCTGGCTCTCTCCACTTGGAGGCAGTGGTTGGAGGGGGCGCAACTGCCATTTGAAGTCTGGACTGACCATAAGAATTTGGAGATGCTGAAATCCCCCCGTTCTCTCAACGCTAAACAACTTCGTTGGGCGGACTTCTTTGCTAAGTTTCGATTCACTCTTCGTCATTTCCCTGGGACGGCTAATTCCCTGGCTGACGCGCTCTCACGCCTCCCACAACATGACAGTCAGCGTGAAATCATCATGGACTCTGTTTTTTCCCCCTCCCACCTGGGGGGGGCTGTGGTCACCCGTGCGCAAGCGCGCTCGATTCCGCGCTCTGATGAAACTTCGCCTTCCCTTTTCCCTGGGGGGGGGGGGGCTGGGTCCAGAAATATATGTCTGCTTTTACTGCTGATGATGATGCCTCCCTGAAAGCGTTGCCAGATTGTGTCCGTAGCCCTGAAGGTCTGATTTATTCTGGAGACAAACTGTATGTGCCTATTTCGATGAGGAGGGAGGTGATGGATTCTGCTCATGGTTCGAAACTGGCAGGGCATTGGAGTTTTGTTAAATCTCTACAACTCATCCGCAGACAGTTCTGGTGGCCACAGATGCGCAAAGACCTATTGACTTTTGTTCGATCCTGTCAGACCTGTGCCTTAACTAAACCCAGGGGGGGTAAGCCTCCCGGTCTTCTGCAACCACTCCCTACTCCATCGAGGCCTTGGGAAGTGGTGTCCATGGACTTTATTACTGACCTCCCTGCGAGCAAAGGGAACACTGTTATTTGGGTGGTTGTTGATTTATTTTCTAAGCAGGCTCATTTTGTGCCTTTTCCTTCCTTGCCTACAGCTCAGAGGTTGGCGAAATCGTTTATGTCTCACGTGGTGAAAATTCATCAATTACCTGCTAAATTAATTTCTGACAGGGGGACCCAATTTGTTTCTAAGTTTTGGAGGGAACTTCTTTCCATTTTAGGGGTGGAACAAGGGCTCAGCAGCGCGTATCATCCTGAGACTGACGGACAAACAGAACGAGTTAATCAGACCCTGGAGCAATATCTTCGTTGTTTTACTAATTATCAACAAAATGATTGGTGTGAATTGTTGCCTCTTGCTGAATATTGTTATAACAATACTGTCCATAGCTCCACGGGCATGTCTCCTTATAAAGCTGTTTCTGGTTACGACAGCCCCCCCTCCCTTTCCTGGAGGGGATGGGCCAACGTCCTGTGGGGGATGCTGATACCTGGTGTATGTCCTTGCAAAAAGCATGGCCTCTGTTATGCCAAACACTTGACGCAGCCAAGGCTGCTTACAAGACCCAGGCAGACAAGGGTAGGGTGGTGGGGTTTGATCTGAAACCTGGGGATCTTGTGTATGTCTCGACCAAGAACATTAAGATGCTGCGACCTAGCAGGAAATTGGGGTGGAAGTTCATTGGTCCATTCAAAGTGCGTAAAGTCATAAATAATGTGGCGGTTGATGTTGTTTTGCCTAAGAATTTACGTGCTCTGCATTCTGTTTTTCACATGAGCCTGTTGAAGAAGGATCCTGGCCCGTCTCCCTGGAGACCAGCAGTTACTCCTCCTCCACCTGTCATTTTGGAAGGGGATGAACATTTTGAGATCGCTGATATCCTTGATTGTAAATTGAAACGTGGTAAACTCTGGTACCTTATCGAATGGGTTGATTTCGGTCCCCAGCACCGCGAATGGGTGGAAGAAGGGGATATTCGGGCCCCTTACCTGATCCGTAGTTTCCACAAGAGGTTCCCGGACAAACCGGGAGGTCTCCCGCCCAGCCCGGGAGATCTCCCGCCCGACCCGGGAGGTGTGTTTTAAGTGTATTTTAAGGGGGGCAGTATGTCAGCAAGCTGCCATTCTGTTTTCTGTGACCTCTGTGTACATATCCTTACCCTGTTGCACCCGGCTTGTTTCTACTATCCTGCTTCTGTGCTGGAATGCATAAGATAACTACTGGTGGATGTGTGGGGGAGAAGATGCTGTAATGCTTGCCTATTGCTATCTCATGAGAACTGCACCTGTGTTTTGTCTGATGTTCTGCCTGGTTCCCATGGACTGGGCGCGCAACCGTTTCATTAGCCCGCCAGCGGGAATATTATTCATTGGATGTGTATCTGTTTGAATTTCCTTTATTATGCTCGCCCTAACTGTGTATCCCCAGTTCTAACAAAGAACGTGTTTGAGTATGTCTTCAACGCTTTGAAATAAATTTTGCTTTTCTTGAAAACGTGGATTTATTCTCGATGCTTGGGGATCCAACAATAAAGAAGATATTTTGAGATTACTACATCAGCAAAATGTCCATTCATCATTTTCATTACCCTGTAACAGTTTGAACTTTTTGCAGCAATTTCTGGTTCATTATTCCACAAGTAAGGTTGCCAACTCCGCGTTGGGAAATACATGGAGATTTGGGGGGTGCTGCCGGAGGAGGGTGGGGTTTGGGGAAGGGACAGACTTCAAGGGGGCTATAATGCCAGAGTCCACCTTCTAAAGAAGCCATTTTCTCCAGCGGAACTGATCTCTATCACCCAGAGGTCAGTTGTAATCCCAGGAGATGTCCAGCCGTCACCTGGAGGTTGGCAGCCTAACCTACATTTGGCACTTTCATCACAAGCCTTCCAAAGAGAGTTCAAATTATGTTTTATTCTGGAGTGCCTTTTAACCCTGGCTTTAAACTTCATTGTTATAAATGGTTACTGGCTTGATTTCCGTTATCTTATAATTAAAGGCTGCATTGTATTGCGTTGAACCTAAGCCACCTCAGGCAGTTTACCGAGCTGGAAAAGCAGCGTCTAAATAAGTTCAATAAATAAAATTAAATTCAAATAGATCCATGCAGGCTTGGTATAAGAAAAGACTATGGCTCACGGCATTCCACAGGAGGTTTCTGAGATGCTGGACCAAAGCCAAACCTGAACCTCTCCTCTTCCAGGAAATCAATGAACCAGTTTTGCACATGGGCAAGATCTGCGAGCTTCCTCTCTGGATGGATCCTGGGTGGATTCTCAACCACATTTTCCACCATCACAAATGCTCTTATGCAGACAAGTGAAAAACAAGCATAGTGGAAGGACATCACATTTCTTCTAAACCACATGATGTGCCACTTTCTCAGCTAAAGGATCCTTGGTTTCCCAGGGCTGTTTTTGTAGAAAAAGCCCAGCAGGAACTCATTAGCATAATAGGCCACACCCAACAGCAGGAACTCATTAGCATAATAGACCACACCCTGACAGCACAGCTCATTAGCACATTAGGCCGCACCCCCATGTTACCAGAAGTGTGGTCATCCAGTCATGCCCACCTTTTGCTTGTTATTCTGTTTAACTTGTTTGTTGTCAAAACCCAGAGCCTTTTTTTGTAGCAGGAACTCCTTTGCATGTTAGGCCACACACCCCTAATGTAGCCAATCCTAATGAGTTTCTGCTGTTGGGTGTGGCCTATTATGCTAATGAGTTCCTGCTGGGCGTGGCCAACTGGGGAGCCAGCCGGAACTCCGCTCCTGGGCGTTCCTGCCCCAAAATAGCCCTGTCCAGGTTTCCTAATGCAACCTTCTTGCAACTTCTTGCTACATTTTCCCAACAAGACAGAGTCAGAGTCAACTCCTCACAGCTCAGCATAACCGCAATGAATCTCGATGTTCAACTCACTGTTTTGGGAAAGAAGACTCTCCAAAGAAGGAATACTTAAGGTGTTGAGGTTTCTTCTTTCTTGCAGGGAGCTAGAAAATACCAGAAAAGGGAAGATATGTTAGATTTAAGTCTTGCCCCTGCCGTGAACTTCCTAGATGGCCTTAGGCAAACTCCCTCAGCCTTAACCACCACCCCTTTCATAATATGAACACAACTCACCAACCTTACAGGATTGTTGTTCAGACTGATGATGGAAAGTGCGGTAAAGTTACTGTGACCCCCATAGGGTTTTCGAGATAAGAGACTAACAGAAATGCATTGCCCGCATCCATGTAGCAACCCTGGACGTTCTCAGTGGTCTCCCATTCAAGTACTAACCAGGGCCAAGCCTGCTCAGCTTCTGAGACCTAACAATGTTGGGCTAGCCCAGGCCATCCAAGTCAGGGTTATTCGGTCCAGGGATGGGCATGAACCAGGAAAACGATGGCCCGTGAAGGTTCATGATTAATGAGGTCTCACGAATCACAAACCTCTACGAACCTTCGCATTTAACGAACCGGTTCGTGATGCAGCATGGCTTCCGAGTGACCTCGTCGCTTGAACATCACTTGTGTGCCACTCAGTTTGCAAAAACCATTTAAAGAGTTCCCTTTCATGTAAAAGCCATTTAAAGGGGTCACATGAGTCCAGTCCAAGCTTGCAAAAGCCATTTGAAGGGTTCCCTTTAAATGCCTTCTGAGTTCACTTGCAAATCATGCCACTGTGGTCTCCTTAAATGCCTTCTCAAAGGGTGGTGGGAGGGTCACGGCGGCAAGTTGGCACAAACCTCAGTTTGCGAACCACAAACTGGGCCCAGTTTGTCATGAGCTGGTTTGTGCCGATCCCTAATCAGGACTAAAAAACAACAATGGGAAGAAAACTTGGAAGCATTATAGAAATGTGGAGTGGTGCTATTAGACTGGCTTCAAGATCTTCACTAGCCAGAAGCTGGCTTCTCAGAAACTTTAGCACAGGAAAGAAAGCGGTGTATGAACTTGCCTACAGCCCCAAAGCAGCATATCCTGCCCAGCATCAGCAGTGTTAACATGCTGGTTTCCATTTTCCTTGTGTGGAACAATTCATCACGTGTGTTTCTGCTATTATTATACCTACTTAGACAGATTTTTTTTTAAATATACATTCACAAAATTTTCATTGCCATGCTGAAAGGGCTTGGAGCAACCATTGAAACAGAAGGAGGAGGAGGAGGAGGAGATTGGATTTATACCCCACCCTTCACTACCCAAGGGAGTCTCAGAGCAGCTTACAAACTCCTTTCCCTTCCCCGCCCCACAACAGACACCCTGTGAGGTAGGTGGGGCTGAGAGAACTCTGACAGAAACTGCTCTTTTTCAAGGACAGCTCTTATCAGAACTACGGCTTGCCCAAGGTCGTCCAGCCAGGTGCAAGTGGAGGAGTGGGGAATCAAACCCGGTTCTCCCAGATTAGAGTCCGCACACTTAACCACTACACCAAACTGGCTCTCAGGAGCGCCATCGCTTTCAAAACAGAGCTGGATACATTCAGCACACACAGAGAGGATCTCTACTGGAATATTTCAATCAGTACTTCCGTAGAAGGTTCTCGGCAGCATCCAGACTCACTTCCAGGTGGCAGGGCAGTGCCTTTTAAAACAAAATCCTGAGTGTTTTTAACTAAATTAGTTTTTTTTGGGGGGGGTTGCTTGTTTTTTAAGCAGGGCGTTTGCCCTTGTATTTTTCTTTTTATTGCATTTCACTGCAAACCGCTCAAAGCGTTTTGCCAGGAAGCCGTCCATTTCTTGATCTATGTCACATCTTTAGGTGCTGCCTTTGGAACACAGAACTGATCGGACCCAGATCTGTAAGGTTTTGAAAGGCTGCCACATCGTCGTGGGAATGTAAATGTAGTTGAATAAGTACGACCAGGAAGGAATACTATTTCTCTCCCATTCACAAAGTTCCATTCTCGGGGTGATGACAGACAACATTCTTTAAGTGTGGCCCGAGTCGTTTGAACGCCCATTCACTGCCTTCCGAGGCATCTTTTATTTTATTTTATTTTCAGGGCAGAGAGTCCATGTTTGGAGCAGCACGTCCAGAATGCTTACTGTACAATCCGACGCAGAGTGACTCCAGCCTAAACCCATTGATTTCAATGAGCTTAGCTGGACCGCAGTGAAGACTGCAAGTCTGCCTTCACACAAAGTGTGGAGGAAATAGTGTGGATACGTGGACCCCAATTCTGCTGTAGCAATATGGCTACAGCTCCCCTGTTATTGCATCCCATTCTGGCAGGGGCTACGACAAACAGTCCACAAAGAGCCCATCTGTCTTCCACTAGGGCAAGAGCCTTCTCGGTAGCTGCCCCTGCCCTCTAGAGCCAGCTCCCCAAGGAGGTCTGTGCCCTGCATGATCTCTTAGGGCAGTGATGGCGAACCTTTTAGAGACCGAGTGCCCAAACTGCGACCCAAAACCCACTTATTTATCGCATAGTGCCAACACGGCAATTTAACCTGGATACTGAGGTTTTACTTTAGAAAAAACAACTCATATGTCATAACTGTTGGTGTATGTTGAAAACTTTGTTGGTGATTAACTGGCTGGTTTGTAATTTTGGATTCTCAGGACTTTTGTATACTGTTTTGCAGTTATTGTACATGTTATACTTGATCTTAATAAACATTTTTTTAAAAAGTTGATCCAAACAAAGTAAGGAAAGCAATCCCAAATGCTTTCATTTACTTAAAATTATTTGGCAGAGAATTCGACACTTGAATGGTGGTCTGGGCCTGGCTGGGGCGATGGCACGCGTGCCCACAGAGAGGGCTCTGAGTGCCACCTCTGGCACCCGTGCCATAGGTTCGCCACCACTGTCTTAGGGCATGCACCTGACTTGGACAGCCTAGGGTAGCCCAACCTTGTCAGATCTCAGAAGCTAAGCAGGGTTGGCTCTGGTGAATATTTAGATGGGGAACCACCAAGGAAGTCCAGGGTCAGTACACAGAGACGGGCCATGGCAAACCACCTCTGTCCGTCTCTTGCCTTGAAAACCCCGTGGGGGTCACCGTAAGTCGGTTGTGATGTGAGGGCAAAAAAAAAGAAAGTTAGGGGGAAAATTTGCCCTGTCCTGGATAGCCCAGGCTAGCTTGATCTTGTCACATCTCCGAAGCTAAGCCGGGTCGATCCTGGCTAGCATTGGGGTGGGAGACCTCCAAGGAATTCGACGGTCACGACACGAGGGCAGGCCATGGCAAACCACCTCTGGACGTCTCTTGCCTTGTAAACCCTACGGAGTTGTCGTAAGTCAGCTGCGACCTGACGGCAAAAAAACCAACCAAACCAAGGGCAACGCAAACCTTCCTTGTTTTGTGCACCATCTAATGAACTAAGAGGACGAGCGAGTTGGCCGGCTGCCCGGATGTGTTGCAGAGCTGATGACCAGCTGAATTTTAATTTAACTCTGTTTTACTGTATTTATCGTTTTCATTATCTATTCTACATTTCAGTGCTCGGTTGTGTACGCTGTGAACTGCCCCGAGTCCTCTGTTGAGGAGAGGGTGCAGATTATAAATCGAATAAATAGATGAGACGCAGGAAAAGGCACAGGCCAGCTGATGACACGGTTCCTCTCCAGGACGACATTTCCCCTAAAGTCATGAAGAAGCAGCAGCCACACCCACCCCAGCAGTGAAATAACAAGCTCTAAATTGACAGGATGTGCCACAGGGGCTCAAGTGTCAGACCGGGATCTGGGAGAGCCGGATTCAAATCCCCACTTTGGCACGAAGCTCACTGGGTAGCCTTGGGCCGCTCACCCACTCTCATCCTCACCCACCTCAGAGGGCTGTTGTGAAGGGAAACACGGAAGGATGAAACAATGATCCCGTAAGCCACTGTGAGTCCCCTGTGGGGAGAAAAGCGGGGTGCAAATAGGGAAATAAAGAAGAGGGGACGACTGAGAGGTGATACGGTCACCCTCTTCAAGTACTTGAAGGACTGTCATCTAGAGGATGGCACGGAGTTGTTTTCTGTTGCCCCAGAAGGTTTTGACCAGAACCAACGGGTTGAAATTAAATCAAAAGAGTTTTCGGCTAAACATTAGGAAGGACTTCCTGACAGTTCCTCAGTGGAACCGGCTTCCTCGGGTGGTGGTGGGCTCTCCTCCTTTGGAAGTTTTCAAACAGAGGCTAGGTGGCCATCTGACAGCAATGTAGATTCTGTGAGGTTAGGCATATCATGAGAGGGAGGGCGGGAAGGGTTGCCTCAGTGCTTAGTTCTCGTGGGCCCTTTCTTACATGCCCAAGGAAATGTTGATCGCCACTTTGGGGTCAGGAAGCAAATGTTCTCCAGGCAAGTTTGGCCTGGGATCCTGGGTTTTTTTTTCTTTTTTGGCCATCTTCTAGGCATGGAACAGGTGTCACTCTATGAGCCCTGAAGGTTTTCACGATCTGCCAATCAACCCCTTCTGGTGGTCCCTGGCTCCAGGGACGTCCATCTCGCCTCAACTAGGGCCAGGGCCTTTTCAGCAATGCCCCCTACCTGGTGGAATAAGTTCCCATATGAGATCAGGGCCCTGTGGGACCTTTTACAGTTCCACAGGGCCTGTAAGATGGAGCTCTTCCGCCAGGCTTTTAACTAGGGCAATGGACATCCCTCCCCCTTTACTGGGCCTCTGCTCAATGGGTCAGAACTGTATACTAGAGATGGCATCTGTGAGACTTAATTCTAATGACAACTGCACCGGCCGAAGGATACAGTTGTAACTTATTAGTGTTTTAATCATATTTTGACTAATTCCTTTGTATTTTATATATTTTATATATTTTATTAAATCTGATGTAACCCGCCCTGAGTCTGCCATGCGGGGAGAGTAGGATAGAAATAGGCTAGCCAAGTCCCCCCGGGGGGCGGGGAAACCCCCGCCCCAGAGGCCCGTTCTTCGCCGGCAGCAGATCAGGACCCGGGGGGAACCCCACCCCGACGTGCGCGTCACCCGGAAGTGACACGCGACCACGCCGGGCACGCTGGGGGCGGGGCCACGGTCATCCAAAGGAAAACTCAGATGACCG